TGTGAGGTCATCACAGCGTGGGGCAATTTTAATATTTTGGTTGAGTGAGGCCAGGGAGGGAAGCAAAGTGAACTGTTCCAAGAAAACCGTAGCTACTGAGGAGCCGGGGGTGAGGAATCGTAAAATCGTGGAGTGGTTTGGATTGGAAAGGACCTTAAAGATAATCTAATTCCAACCCTCTGCCATGAGTAGGGACCATGTTGCTTAAGACCTCATCCAGGCTGGCCTTGAACAGTTCCAGGGAGGAGGCATCCACAGCCTCTCTGGGCAGCCTGTTCCAGTGTCTCACCACCCTCATTCTTAGAGGGTTAGGTGAACACAAGCATTGTGGTTTAATCTCTCATCTTGGTTCTACGAAGCTTGGATGTGTACCATGGTTACCTGTATGCCATCAGCAGTTTCTGAAGCTGAGGCCTCAGATCCTGTGAGTTCAAGGTTAGTGAAAAATTGAAGATTTAGTGAAGAGATGCGAACGTGGTAAAAAGCAGAGCAGACTGACTTAAATGCACAGAGTTATCTGAGTTTAGGTTTATGGTAGAAAACTAGGATTATTTCAAGGATTTACAATCTAGGAGACAAAAGTGGAGTGAAGTTTGGTGGCTGGATGTTGTGTGGAAGAACATGTATTTAAAATGCAGATTACTTTGAGAATAGTGAACAGCTGGAAGCAAATATCTAGGTCTCAGATGAATATGATAGGTTTTGTGTTAGAAATAATTCTCCTGAAGATATCAGGTTAGAGATTTTGGGGACTTTTGTGTCTGTTTTTGACTCAAACGTGATAGTACAACTTGTTTAAACTTCAAGGAACAGAATACAGTGGCATGCAGAATAATTAGTAAGGAGATTGATATGAGCAGTTGTAGGAGGTGAGAAATCTAAAGATGATGTAACAAAGTCCATTGGATGGAGACCTGCTAGACTGAATTATTAATACTGCTTCTCTGTGTTTGGCCTAGGGACTGTGGATCAGTGGAAAATTGTGTTGAAATTTCGTGAAGGTTTAGGTGGGAGGCAGAGATACTGTCAACATAGAAGCAGATGGGAGTATCTCCAGAGAACAGGAAGATTTTTGAGGACTGTATTATTAGAAACAATTAATTAAATTGTGCAAGATCACATGGAACTGGGAAGCAGTATCAAATTTGGAATTGTTCCTGCTCTGTTCAGTAACAGAAGAAAGAGTTGGGCCTGTTGATGCTCTAAGATTACAAAGTCAGAAGTGTAAAAGTCTGTGGAAGAAGCTATGCACAGTTGTAAGAGTGCCTTAGAAAAGTGGATGTGTTGTCTTCGTAGAAATACAGAACTATCATTCTTGCATATATCAGAGTGAGAGACCCTGCAGAAGTGATTGGCTGTCAACAAGAAGGTTAATTCAAACCAAAGCAAGTTCGGAAAGGTAGGAAGTCTAAGGGAACAATACGAGGTATTTTATTCAGAGATGGATAGTATTTCTGTATACCTCAGTACACTGCCGGGTAGAAATAGCTAGTTTACCTGGGATTAAGGATTTAAAGACATCATGGCAAGGTTATATGCTTTGCCTACCTTATCCTACTTTAACAGTGTATGTTCTATACTATCTAAACTAGCTTGTGTGGGTATCTACATGGAAAGGAACAGAATTTCTAATGATCGGCTAAAATGAGAAATACATTTGAGTGGCCACAGGGAGGAAAGCAGTTTATGATTGAGGGCACTATTAACAAACAAATTAATAAAGAAACTGCTTTGCGGGCAGGGTGGAGAGAGCAGACTAGAGAAGATTACTAAAATACTTTTTTTTCTCTTTGTCTATGTTACTTATGAGTAATTGCTGCTAAAGACCCGGTGTCCACACAGCGAACATTTCAAGGTTTCTTTTTCTTTGGAATAGCTCTAAAGGAATTCAGTTTGTGTACTCAGGACTGCTCCATTGTACAAACCGGGCACAAGAAGGTTACTTTAAAAATCCTCCCCTGCTCTGAATTAAAGCACTAATGTGTACACCTTAAAAGAGCAGAGAAGGCTGAAAGATCACAAGCTACTTGCCAAGATGACACCTTTTGTTCTGTGGAATGATTCAGCAACAATATTCTGCCTACTTCTAGCTCCATCTTCAGCGTGTGGTGATGGTACTGGTCTGTATCACAGAACTCCTCCAAGCCCCTTCTGAAATTGAACTCTCTCTCCTGTGGAAGATGTGTGAAGTTGTGATTATATCAAGTGGCACATTACTGCTATTCGAAGCAGTATGCTTTTTGGTTTTGTATTTTGGCTATAGGAATTAAAAGTTCTATCACCTGTCCTCACTGAAGCAGTTGTAGATGTGTTCTAGGCCCAAATGTCAATGTCCTGCTGTATGTTAGCTTAGGTAATCATTTGGGTCTAATTACTTGGTAATTTCCTCTTTTTCTGTGGTTAGTAGGAGGTGATCATATGCTAATAAGCCAGAAGGCTGAGTACTTCCAAGTAAAACAATGTTATGTCATTGCAAAACTTGGGGATCCTGTACTCCAGAATCCAGGCTTTTGCTAGACTGACACCAAAATGTGTACACTTTCTAATCTAAGGTGTTCATTTGTCAGCATAGACACTTGTCACCTTCTCTATTTCTCATTTTGAATGTTTCTATATTATACTGTGAAGACAAATTATTATATGTAGCATATAAAAATGCAAAGTTCACAGTAACTGGCATGATGGAAATAATCCCATGCTAGCTCCTATTCTAAATTACATAATCTTGTGATCTTCCAACCCTGAGAGGAGGATTTCCCTTGTAGATTTACATTTCTGACTAAGCTCTCCTTGTAGCTTTTACTGTTTCAGTCTTTTGGTTATTATAGCAACATGTAAATGTTACCAGTCTGCATGTGGCTCATGTTTTGTGAGCATTCTACAGAAATGTTCTATGGACACAACAGTTTGTCTTTTCTAGTAAGCTACCAAGCAACCCAAAGCTTCATTTATTTCTGTACGATACTGTGGTTTTCTGATTTGTGATGCATCTTACTACTTCTGTCTAGGTTACTGCTGTGAACTGCAAGAGGGATAAAGTTTTCTGGTCAAATTATTAAATAAAAAGTGATTTTACTTCTTTTTAACATGGAAGAATGTTAGCTAAATGTGCATCATCTGTTTCCTCAAAATTTAGAAGTTTAGTAGATTATATTAAAGTCTGATCATACAGTGTCTAGTATATTTCTAGCCACACTGTGGCAGTGCTGGAGCAAAACTGACTTAACTTTTCTTTTCCAGCTCTTATTAATGGCCTCTCTGGAATACCTCCACATCAGAAAAAAGTGGTCTATCTCTGTCAGCTTTTGATAAGAATTGCAAAAGGACAAAAACTTGGTAAATATGACTGATGCTATTTTTTTCTTGTTTAAACATCTTTGTGTTAACTTGCACAGAGGTGCATTATATATGCTTTCACATAGCCTTTATTGTACATATATATAAATAAAATAACTGAACTGTGCATTTTGGACTGTCTCTATTGCATATGTGACAGAGCCATGTGCAGGACCAGTTTTATTCTGTGCTGACTGATTAAGCTGCACTGAGTTTGAGTGACTATATGCTTCTTAAATTAGGTATTTTTTGTCACTGTAGCATCAACAAAAGAAATACACTGTAAAAGGTTGAGTCTTAGTGAGCATCACTTGCAAGTTTAAAGCACAGAATGTGTGTTTCTTTCTGCACAAGTAACTAGAGGTTAAAGCAAGACAGACAGGAGGAATAAGAATATAGATGAAAAGGATGACTGCACTTGTTTCTTAAAGAAGACTGAGACTCTCAGCTGGCAGCAGGTCCTTTGGACTCTTGGTTACTGCCATGTCTCCTGTTTGTCTGGTTTAGCCAAACTGATTTTGCTTCCACACTCAAATTTCTCAAAGACTTAACTTTTTTTTGCCAGAAGTGTCACTGCTTGATAAAACTCATTGGAATTTAAGGACTTCAGAAGCAGTCTTGCCAGCATGAAAACGTTTATTGTAGTCTAGCAGTGCCACAAAAGCTTGTTTTTATAAAATGAAATTACATATGTTGCTTCTCAGGTAATAACACTTTTTTGGTTTAGTTCAACTTGAGAAACAAATTTCAGTATTTAAAATAGTTCATAATATACAAATTGTGAAACTTTTACGATAATGCTTTACAACTGTATTATTGTATATAATGCTTGGGATTATGGTTTCAATGTGTTTTCAACTATCAGTGTAGAATCGTAGAGTTGTTTGGGTTGGAAGGGACCTTAAAGATCATCTATTTTCAACCCCCTTGCTGTGAGCAGGGTCACTTTCCACTAGACCAAGTTGCTCAAAGTCCCATCCAGCCTGGCCTTGGAGGAGGCTTCCACAACTTCTCTAGGCACCCTGTTTCAGTGTCTCACTACCCTGACAGAAAATAATTCCTTTTGAATATCTAACCTAACTCTACCCTCTTTCAGTTTGAAACTGTTACCACTTGTCCTATCACTACACCTGCAGGCCCTCTTCAGGTACTGGAAGGCTGCTACAAGGTCTCCTTGGAGCCTTCTCCAGGCTGAATGAACAACCCCAACTCTCAGCCTGTCCTTGCAGGAGAGGTGCTCCAGCCCTTTGATGATTTTTGTGGCCCTCCTGGACCTGCTCCAACAGGTCCATGCCCTTCTTGTTTTGGGGGCTCCAGAGCTGGACACAGCACTGCAGGTGAGGTTTCACCAGAGCAGAGGAGCAAGATCACCTCCCTTGACCTGCTGGCCATGCTTCTTTTGATGCATCCCAGGATGCAATTGGCTTTCTGGGTTGCAGGCACACAGTACTGGCTCATGTTCAGCTTTTCATCCAACAACACCCCCAAGTCGTTTTTCTCAGGGCTGCTTTCAGTCTTCTCATTTGACCTGTATCTGTGCTTGGGATTGCCTGACCCAGGTGCAGGACCTTGTACTTGGCCTTGTTGAACTGCATGAATTTCACATGGGGCCATCTGTCAAAGTGTAGAGAACAACCTGTGTAGTGAAGAAGACTGCATATGCTTAGGAGGTATTACAACAGATGTAGTTGCACAGTGTGTGTGGAAAACTAACAACATGTCGTACAAAATGAAGGAATGAGTGAGACTGTAGTTCAGTGAACATCTTGAGCTAAGTTGGCAGTGCCATGAGGAAAAATGCCATCTTATGCACCTGCCAACTCCTACTGTGTCTGTTATGTTGGCAGACTCACTTGTGCAGATGTGCAGTGAGTGACCAGACTGGGAAGCTGTCCCTGGAATGATGAGGGGATGGTTATTTGGCTGGGCTAGATTTCTGCCAGAACTGATCTCTGGTCCTGCTTGCTGAGAGTTAATTCAAACCTTGGTGTTGGCACAGGGGTACAATGACAATGGGAGGTTGCTTCTGCTTTTTCAGTGGCACTCCTGTATTAAGCTGTTTGAACTTCCCTCTCTGTTTAACCTCTTCAAATATAACAAAAAGTTGACATGGAAATACAGAAATAGACTCGGGGAGGGGAGGAGATGATGGTTATATTACAAAATTAACAGTATTGATGCCAAATGTTTTGATATCTGATACTAAGCTTCATGCAGGAGTATTATTAATAGGCAGCCTAAATACATGATGCTAAACTTAGCACTATTGCAAGTGGCATTTTAAGTGAACAATAATTAGCAGATGCATAGTTTCTCTTAAAAATTCAACAGTGATGTTATTAGCAAGAGTAGGAAGAATTGGTCTCTCCAAAAAGAAGGCAGTTACTTCAGGTCTCAGACACACCTGAAAAGAGATACAAAAAGTTCTTTGAGTAAAAGGATTTGAAATTACATATAGTACATATTACTTTGTTGTCTATGAAAAACATAATATATTTAGCTTTACCCTAAACATTTTTAAATACCACTTTCTTTTTTTTTTTTTTTATTCCCCACCTTCAGAATGCCATTTTGAAAATGATCCAAGAATTTCACCTTTGGAATCTGCTCTGTCTTTCTGGACTTTACTTGAAAAGGAAGAAGTTAAACTGGAAAAGCTTCATGAAGATATTCATCGCTTGATTCAAATTCAGGTCTGTGTGACTTCTTCAGAATGCTTCTGGATGCTACCTATTCATTCTGCTAAAACAGGCCTTTTTTACAAAAAAAGTGGAATATTAGCAGTCTGAACTGAATTTTTGAAGTTTGCTGTATTTTCAGGTATGTACAGTTGCAAGAAAAAGTATGTGATTCTTCTGGAATTTCATGGCATTCTGCATTAATTTGTCATAAAATGTGATATAACCATTATCTAAGTCAAGAGTATTGACAAATACATTGTGCCTAAAATCATAACACAAAAACAATTCTGATCCCCCATGTCTTTATTGAACACCCTCATTCAACATTCAAAATGCTAGTGGAAAAAGTGAACTTTTGAGTTGACCTCTAAAAAGCTAATCAGATTTGGCTGTTAGCATACCTGGAGTCTTGTTTAAAAAAATTAATTCAGAGGTGTGAACTAGAGCTACATTGGCTGATTAAAGCCAATTTGGTCCATACAAGATGTATGCTTACGTAAGCTATGCCTTTCCAAAAAGAGATTTCAGAGGATCTATGATCAAGAATTGTTGACTTAAATAAAACTGGAAAGGGTTACAAAGTGATTTCAAAGACCTTAGAAATTCAGTAGTCTACAGTTAGGCAAACAATCTACCGATGGAGACACTTTGGGACTGTGGCTGCTCTACCAAGAAGTGGGCACCTAGTCAAAATGACCCCAAGAGCACAACAAAGACTCATCAGTGAGGTAAAGAAACAACCTCAAATGACAGCCAATGAGTTGGAAGCATCATTGGAACTGGTTAACATCTATGTTCATGAGCCTACAGTACGTAAAACGTTGATCAAGCAGGGTGTCTATGGCAGGACATCACGAAGGAAGCCACTGCTTACGACAGAGACCATTGCTGCACGGCTGAAGTTTGCGAAAGTGCACATTGACACTCCACAGTGGTATTGGCAAAATGTTTTGTGGACTGATGAAACAAAGATTGAACTATTTGGAAAGAACATGCAGCACTACATCTGGTGTAAAAGGGGCACTGCATATTATCATGAAAACATCTTCCTAACTGTAAAGCGTGATGGAGGAAACATCATGATTTGGGCCTGCTTTGCTGCATCAGGGCCTGGCCAGCTTGCAGTCATTGAGGGGAAGATGAATTCCCAAGTGTATCAAAAAATTCTTCAGAAAAATGTGAGAATGTCTGTACTTCAACTGAAACTCTGTAGACATTAGGTAATGCAACAGGACAATGACCCAGAACACGGGAACAAGTCCACAACAGAATGGCTTCAGACAAACAAAATCCCCCTTTCAGAGTGACCAAGTCAGAGCCCAGACCTCAACCCCATTGAGATGTTATGGAATGACTTGAAGAGAGCCATATGCATGAGGGGGCCAAAGAACATGAGAGAGCTAAAGCAGTTCTGTCAGGAAGAATGGGCTAAAATCCCTCCTGAGCAATGTGTGGGTCTGATCCAAAGCTACAGGAACGGCCTGGTTGAGGTTATTGTTGCCAAGGGGCAGTCAACCAGTTACTGAGTTCAAGAGTTCACTTACTTTTTCCACTAGCATTTTGAATGTTGAGTGAGGGTGTTTAATAAAGACATGGGGGATCAGAATTGGGTTTGTATTATTTTAGGCACATTCTGTTTGTCAATACTATTGACTTAGATAATGGTTATATCACATTTTATGACAAATTAACGCAGAACACCATGAAATTCCAGAAGGTTCACATACTTTTTCTTGCAACTGTAGTAAATAGGTATCTACAGGAGACCTTTTCCTATCTAAATTGATTCCTGTTTATTCCAGTTCAGAGTTGCTTCAAAAGTTGCCAGTTTGGGAAGAAAAAAAAAAAGATATAGAGAGATCAGTTTCAAAACACTAGTAGCTTGAGCTTTAAAATATATTAATAGCTTTTTTTCTTCATTCTTACAAATAATTTTTTGTATTAGAAAGCTTTGCATTTCTAAGAAAACATGTTAAAACATATTAATGGGTACTAGGACTGGGAAAATTTTTCAGGCAAAGATGAAAGTAATATTTAGTAGGTAAGTATGGGAGACTTTGCATAAATGAATGTCCTCTTAAATGCCTGATTGAAAGATGTTAGGCCTTTATTCTTGAGGTTTGATACTGCTTCAGAACTAACTGTTGTAATTAGATAATTGGTGGTAGCCCTTAAATATATAATCCTCTGAATTTTAGGAGTCTTACAAAACTGTAAAAGTGTGACTTCTTGAGTTTTTTTCTGAATCTCAGATGAAATGTATTTCAGCATATCTTGTAATTATATCTGTAGATTGTAGCAGTCTATATGGAAAATGGATATTTCAAGGAGGCCACTGAAGTTCTTGAAAGGCTCTTCACAGACTCGGAATCAGATAAGGTATTAACTTGCTTAACGTGGCATGAAACTATTATTATTTTTAGAGGAGAAGAGGGGAACAGGTTTTCAAAGCTAGCAAATGCTGCCTCCATACCTTTGTTCTAATTACTGCCTATGCAGTCACTTACACACCTGTGGCACTTCTAAATACAAAAAGAAATTTGTGACTAGGGGATTGATAGAAATAATGGGTGATTTGAGGGAGTAAAATGCTTCTAGCAGCAGTTGTTGTTCACTTTGGGCTGCATCAGTCTGAACTTGAGCCCCTTTTCCACATTGTATGAGGAGTGAAGTGTCACTACAGCTTCTGTGAACTTGATATTGTTGTTTATTCAAAGACAGTATAAACATGCTGGCAGAGACATAGTGACTCCCTAAAAACCAGTCTACTGGCTTTTTCTGAACCATTGCAGTGCATTTTATTTGTTGTTTCTGTTGATAAGGGGTTTATATGCTGAAGCATCAAAGGGAAGTGTAGCTCATTGGCATTTGTAGTGTGAACTGGATATTATCATACCTCTATCTGGAAAGACAACATGTTGGTCAGACTGCTTCCTGGTTTGATGTTGGTTGCATCATTCAAAAAGATGCAAGTTCAAGTGCATATATCTTTAAGATAATAGCTAGTCTTTATACCTGAATTTGTTGGAATGGAGAAGAGAGCAACAGCAAGATTCCAGGCAAAAAATAAAAAAGGCAAAAATACTGCCTCTGTTTTCCTGTGATATATTAGGACAAATGTTCTATATATATTAGGACACATGTTCTATGTAAATATTAGCATGTGTATAACTTATTCTTCAGATACACTTTTCAGTCAGAGGATTCAGCTGTTTGGGAAATGTAAGCTGTGGTAAAAGTATTCAACTTCATAAATAAGAATTCAACTTGTACCCAGAAGTTAATTCTTGGCTGTGTGGTTCTCTAAGACTCAGAGTGCTTGCTGGACAAAATGTGAAGCTGCAATTACTGGTATGGATGTTTCCTTAATGCTACTGAAATAAATAACCCTTTTCCTGAGCACTAAACTGCTTTCAGTGGCAGTCTTCTCAAGGCAGCAAATGAGAGAAGAGAACCTAGTAACGAGTGGCTTTTTCTGGGTGACTTTCGCTCCATTCACAACCCTGCTTTAAGTGTTGTTCATAAAGGGAATGAAAATGAGAATCCCTGGAAAGTTGTTTAACCACTTGCTGAACACATAAAGTAGACTCCTGGTGCTGTGCCTAGTTAACCTGAGAACTCTTTCAAACTGTAGCATGAACACCATGTAATCATCATGTTTAGCTTTGTATATGTCCTGTTTAGCTCAGATGCCAAGTTTACTGCCACATGTGTTTGTGTTGTGTATAAAGCTATGCTTTTCTTAGCCTTTAAGGGTGAAGCTGACAACTGTAATTAGAAGCAAGGATCCATATGTTCCCCTTCTTCAAAGCTTCAGTTACAATCTTCTGATAAATAAAATCAAGTCTTATGTTGAACTTTTCATGAAAGAAAATGAAACTAACTTCTTAATACAGGTATGTCAAAACTAATTTCAGAACTTATTTCAGAAGAGGTATCTGATAAGATTAAAGAGATTTTTTTTACTTTTAAAGAAATTGTTTAGACAATATTCAGTTACTGTATTAGATGAACAGAAAACTTTATCTTCCTCTTCGATTGTCTTATTAATTGAGGAAAAACAAGAGATTGAATACATGTTTAGGGGAAACTTAGTAGGAGTGTAAGATTCATTTAAAGTCTCTTTTGTGAATGATTTCTCCACAGATGTTTTTATTAGAAAAATAGTTGGGGAAAAATGCTTAATTAAAGTAAGGTCTGGCATTAGTGTACATTTAAGAGAAGCAGTTGTAACCTTAGGCTCCTTAAAAGCTAATATAACTAATTTAATGTTTATTTTAAGTCTATATGACTCCTCATACTAAAACTAAAAGATCGAGACCTGTTAATTTGGTTAAAAGCTTTAGGAATGTCAGAGTTAGGAGACAGGAACCTGTTATTGCTGTTTTCCTGTAAATAAAAAAGCTACTTACAAGCAATCTTCCTCAAAAGTGATTTAAAATTGGCATGAACAACATTCCTCCTGCATCTCATCTTCAGGAGGATTGTAAAGAATTTTTCTTCTGTTTACCTCCTGTAAAAGAATATTGAATTACTCAATTTCAAAAGCACAAACATCTAAAGGTAATAAGACCTAGATTTTAAATAAACAAACCTGAAGTTCCTCTGGGGTTTTCATTTTCTTACCAGGAGAGACGAGAGAAGTTAATAAGTGCATTTGAACTATAATACAGGGAGTACTTTTAAATGTTTTCACTCAGTTGTCAGTTTTCAAGTTTATTTTTCAAGGCTGTTTCTTTGAGTCTAAGAGGAGGTGGAGGTTGGGAGGTGTTGGAGGAGGCCTGAAACTCCATACTAGCATACCTAGACTCTCTGTGTTGCACCCCCTCTGCCTGCACACCCATCCTACTATCTGCACTGGTGTTGCAAAGTTGGCTTCTGAATTCTTTCCTTTGGATTGAGTTACTCTGGGATGTGGAGGAGGCAACTTTGTGAAGAGTTCCCACTTGTGTGCAATGCACAGAGCTGTTACCCAGTAGTGTATCCTGCATTCTCTACAGAAAACTGCTCTAGCTTTAGCTATTCATGTATTTTCTTCTTCTAGTGCCACATGTAGAAGTGTAAAGATAACATGTTTTGGGTTGGAAGGGACCTTTAACGATTATCTAGTCCAACCCCCCTGCAGTGAGCAGGGGCATCTTCAACTAGATCAGGTTGCTCAGAGCCCCATCCAACCTGACCCTGAGTCTTTCCAAGGCCTGGGCATCTGCCACATCTGTGGGTGACATGTACCAATGTTTTACCACCCTCATGGTAAAAGAAGCTTTTTTTCCTTCTATCTAGTCTGAATCTACCCTCTTTTACCCCTTGTAGTATCACAACAGGTTGTGCCAAAAATAACAGGCTATCTTTAAGTATTGAAAGGCCGTAATAAGGACCTGTGAAATAAGCACTTTAAGTCCTCATAGAGAGTACACATTCATTTTAATGTAAAATACTGTGTAAATACTGTATGGCTTTAAAATTAAAGCATCAATTCCATTTCTCACAGGCAGCCACAAAACACATAGAGTCTAAAGGATTTGGAGCAATGGCATTGCAAAACAAAATGCCAAATGTCAATGAAAATGACAAAAGGAATTCAGGAACAAAACAAAGGTTTGTATTAAGCATTGTATTGATGAGGGACATGCTTGGACAGTAACTTGAAACTTGTAGAACTGAGAGTAGGTAGAAGGAAGGACATTAAATTCCAAACTGCTCTTTTATAGAGAATGTGCCTGTAGTTAATTTTTTATTTTTAGGTTTTGGCTTTTCTGTGGTTGTTACTTTTGGCATTTATATCACGTAGCTTAGCGTTAAGCTTAAGTACTTGTTGAAGATGTACATTTTTCAGCTCAAGCAGCTGTCAGTCTTGTGAAACAATAAAAACATAGAAATACTACTTTTTCTTTATGCATGATCAAACTCCTTTTTTCAGGCTATAAGTCATCTGGAGAACAAAGGATGAAGAAAGGGAATTAGTGTATTAGTTTTTCCTTGCAGCTAAACACAAAATTGTCTTACTTAGTGATACTAGTGATGGGAAATAGTTATGTTGCTTCATGATTCTGGCAATGTGAGCCCTCAAAACAATTATGTGCTTTTCTAGGAAATGATTGGGGAACTTGAAGCCTACTTCCTTCCAAAAACCCCCGTGACTTTATTTTGAAAAACATTAATATTCTAGGTTTATCGCTACTTGTTTTTCATGGAGAATAACGTACAGTCTTCAGTTGGGATACAGCTTATTTCTGCAGTTTTATATTTGGAATACATCATTTAGTTAAGGAAATTGACTGATGTGGGCAGGAGAACAAGTCGTAAGGTTATTTTGTTTTAAGAAGGGCAGCTCCTGGCATAAATATTACATTATGAGAGACTTCATAAAAAAAACCAAAACACCTGTGGAAAGAATTCCTAAATTGTGAAGAAGGTATGAAAAAATAGATGTGAAAAAGACCTCATGTCTTCAGTTTAAATGTGTAATATCTTGTGTACTTCTCCTTTGAGTGTAGGGAGGCAAGGTTAAGAGGGTTAATGGGTTGAAGCAGTTACTGCCTAGGAAATTATTTTGAGGAATTTTTTTTCTTTTTTTTTTAGGTCAATAGAAAGGCAGCAGGGTATTGCAGATCAGTCACCTGGAGGTATAAAAAGACTTACAGTAAGGTACAATTTTTTTGTTGTTGTTGCTCTTGGTTATAGATGCTACATGAAGTTCTGTGTATTTTTACTCAGTTTTCTGTTCCTTGCAGGCCTTGTTCAGGACAGAAGCAGAGAGTGAGAAGTGCTCTTCGCAGTGAGTATTAGCTTATGTTTACACCTTCAAAATAGTCATGCAGAACAGTTTCCCCCCACATTCCTGCAATAATCATAGAATCATAGAATGGCCTA